TTTGCCATCTGTTGCAGCACTGCTATGGCATCATCTCTGCAAATTCGCTTTGAAAAAATAAGATGAAAATTAAACTTATTGCCCAGGTAGGTGAAATTTTGCAATCAACATATTTTAGTTGAGAATACCACACACTTAAAGAAAAAGAAAATTGCAAAACACAAAGGTCCACACAAATTTAATTGATGTCTCTTTAATTTACAATAGTTATTTCTGGAATAACCTCATATGATTAAAACACATGATTAAGCAGATATGAAGAGAAATAACTATAAATCTGCAATAAAATGAATGTGCATATCTTTTTCTCAGTCTTTTGTTTCTATCTTCAGTTTGATCATTCTTATAGTACCAGTTGATTTGTAATCCCATCACTGTGGTTTAAAATGGGTAGAGGGTTATATACATTGTGCACCTCTACTAACTAATCCTGAACAATATCCCACAAAAACAGAGCTGGACATTATTCATTATCTGATTGCAAATGGCAACCGAAACATAGATTCAAACATGCACAATTTACATCACTCGACTAACTGTATAAATGCCTTAAAGGACATAATCCTCTGATCATTTATATATTTTCAAGAGTTTTAATGGCCAAAAACAAGAAATTCTGTAGAAATAGTGATAAACTTCTGCAAAACAATTCAATTTTGGTTGACTTCAAATTACATGTCTATACAGGAAAATGTTATCAGTTTCTTTAAGCAACTGATATACTTTTGCTGGACTGGAGAAACCGTTATTAGCAGCCTGGGTAAATTAAAATGCTGCTTGACAAGTAAAATTTTATACTTTCACAGAATTTTATAAAGGAATATAGAGAAGAAAAGTTGGTCCTGTTTGTTCTGTTTTATATAATCTTTATTCCAGGGATGTGCTGCTGTTTTCCATTTATGTTTCAGGAATGAAAATTTCACCATCATAAACAAAAAAATAAATTTTAGAAGTTAACGTCCAGCACTTAAAAATCAATGTAACTGGCTTTGTGCTACACAAGATCATCCTTAATAACCTGGAAAAGAAAACTGAATTTTTGTACCCATGTAATTTGTATCTGGACAGTAGTCTGTTGGTTGTGGAAGTGAGTTTTGTAATGCTTTATAGCCTCATCTCTCCTGTTGAATCCATTTCTGCATTTGAAGCAGTGCCAGTGGGTCCCTTTAAACTTCTTTTCACCCACTATGTCACAATGGTCACAGCATCTTAGAATCTTCAAACCTGTATACAGAAAATATTAAATCTGAACCTTCTCTGGATTCAATGTTGTCATAACAAGTAAGAACACATCAATAAAAACTATACTTTTATGAACCAGACACTATTTAAAATTTCTCACTAATACCAAACTTTATTCTTCTTCATAATATGAGTCAAATGTCAATTTCTTTTCTTAAATTGAATGTGGTTAAGCAACATTATGTGATTACACTGCCAATGAAAGACAATTACAATTACAGTTATTGGGCTTTTAAAACCAATGATTATAATAAAGATTACACTTTGATCTGTAATCAGCAACATGCCTGCTAAGCCATGAAGAGAAAGTAGTCCTTGAGGATGAGACTCATTAATACATCGAAAGTCCAAGTCAGGAACTTCTCTATTAGGTGAACATAACTTAAAGAAGAGTATTGGAAGTAGTCAGAAACCTTAATAAACAAGCAAAAGAAACAATAAGGTGAACATCTTTGCATGCTTGTCAAAACATTCTACTGCTGACTACAAGAAGGCATAATCATTCTTCACAAACTATAAACTCAGGGGTAAATCTGGATCAGAGAACTACAGTGTGACCCCGCTATAATGCGCTCGGTTATAGCGTGAATTTGGATATAATGCAGTTGTGGCATGCCTCCCGAAATTTCATTCAACTTATTACTGATATTTTTCTTGTAAAATAAAAAAAAAAAAATAAAGTACATATAGTAAATTGTGTAAAGTTTTATTATCATGTTAGAAAAAGATATCGCTTACAAATTAGAGTAAAATACGTTTGTTGCGTGGCACCTGAAATATCATATACATGTATTATTCTCATACACAAAAACATTTCTTCTTAAAAGTGAAAAAAAAAAAGTGTCAAAAGTTTAATATCATTCTGGGGAGGAAATCATGTATGGATTCTAATATAAAACGATTGTGGCATGGCTCCTGAAATTTCAATTACCTTATTAACGGTATTTTTCTCATAAAAAAAAATATGTATGTAAAGTAAATTACTTTACGCTTTGTAATCATTTTGGAAAAGAGATTGCTTATAAATTTGAATATAATACAATTGTGGCCTTGCTCCCAAAATATCACATACATGTATTATTTTCATACATAGAAAACATTTCTTCTTAAAGGTGCAAAAAATAAAGAAAGTTTCATTATCATTGTAGGGAAGAAATCACATATGGATTCTCATATAAAAAGATCGTGGCGAGTTCCTACAATTTTTAAATTTAACAAATTTCTTACAGTTTTGTGCCAAAATAAACATCAGAAATATGAGTATCTCAACCTAGGTCTGGGTCTTTTGAGAACTTTGATCTTTGTTGTTTTTTTTGTTGAAAGTTAACAGCTCATAAGCATTAATGTTCTTATTACTAGTTCATGAGCAATGAAGCCATCAAATCTTCATGTTTGTCTATAATGCATTTCCTATACAATCATTGCTCAAGCAATATCTGACATATGTTCTATTAGCTGCATTCACAACTAAGCAATAAACAATGCGGCGGATTATAAAAGATTCTCACCTACATTTATAAATCAATTAATTTAAATACCTTGCTCATCAGTCAATTGCCGGGCTAAACTTGTTCAAATTATGGGTCAACGATTTATAAAACATCAAACAAATGCAAGCCAACAACATGTGCATGTGGCTTGGCGGTGTTTTTTTATGCAGTCAGTTGACCAGTGAATAATGTCATGCATTCCCTACAAATAACACTCTTTTGTTTATTGCTGTAGTCAGAAAGCAGCTGAAAATTAGTTTTTCAAACAATACTAAAGTATTACAAATCATGGATGAGAAAATTTAGCAGTGTTACATTTATACAGACACCGCTATTTAACCTTCGGACGTACTGTTTCATCACTCGTTATATACTACTTGCTATTTATTTTTCCCACTGAATTGTCGCATACTGATCTGTAACAAAATTATTGAATATTTTAAATATTTGGGTGAATATTTTCAATGGAAATGCCTGAATTGTGGATTCAATGTATATGGTAAGATTCACAGCTGAGTACACAGTGTTGATACTCTATTCATGCTTTAGATTAACTATGTATGTATAAAGTATATACGTGTATACATCATTGCATGATTCTATGAATAAAATAATATATTATACATGCAATCTGTTATCACTGCAAGTGTTTTTTTTTTTCTCATTTAATATGCATTGATTTAAAATAGTAACTGTGCCAATGATGCACACGTATTTGCACCTGCTTTTATTCCCCCTCACCCGAGAACCCTGCAAATTTGTTGGTAACATACATGTCTGCTTATAATACAGTTCGGTTCATAAAATGGTCAGGTTCTATGGCTCCCGACTACCGCGTTATAGCGGAGTCGCACTGTTCCGAGAACCTGTTAAGTGTGAAGCTTAAAAATCAATTATGGATCATGCTGTGCTTTGCCAATGTTGCAAACTGAGATGTTTTTCCTTACTGGTGACAAATTATACCATCTGGTGATCATTTTTGGCTACAACATTTGTGGCTGCTAAAAACTGTATATACAGTTTTGGGTTTGGAGTTGAGAAATTCAAAGGCACCATGATAGGAAGTCGCAAACTTTGATATAAAACTCCACTGGAATTGCTTGTTACATAAACAAATCCTTTGTAAGTTCATATTGACAAGCCACCCTAATAAAGCATTGTTATATCATAATCTGCTTATGCTGAAATTAGTACTATGTGTTGTAATATTACACAGTCATGCTACCTGACTAGCTACAATCAACCAACTTTGAAATGGGGAATGGAAATGAATACATTTTACCAGAACAATGTACCAGAAAAAATAGTTTTGCTCAAATGTCAAAGAAAACTGATTACCTTTGAAGATTGATCATTTTAAATATATACCAAGCAAATGAAAAATAAAAAATTGCCTCCATCAATGTTTTACAATTATCTGATTTTGCCACAGCAATAACAAACAGACATTTGTTTGGTCCTTCAAAGTACGCCTTTAGTGGTACCTTTGATACATTAACCTTCATCAAAGCAAGCTAAAGATCTTTAATCACAGAAAGTCGGCAAAAATCTTAAAAGCATTGTGATTAAAACAGATTTATTGTGGTGTGAAAGTTTATAGTTTGCAAGAAAAATGTTTATGATAACAATCACTACTATTGGCAGTTTAAAACCCTAATTAAGGTTCCAATATTTTCAAGCAATATCTGACCATCGAGTTATTAAAAGGTGCGATGTCAAGCAAGAGTGTTAAAACTTTTTAATTTGTTCACATTTTCATCTCTCTATGAATAGCCTTGGAAGCTTCTGCATCATGGAAGTTGTCTTTGGCTGACCCAAATCTAGGCCAATTTAAGTACATGTACATGTAGCATATAAACTAATTATACAGCCACGTGCTACTAGGATAATAAATACCAGAGTGAATTAGTTAGAGAAACGTGTTTCTTGACAATGCGATATCAATCAAAAATGGACTACTATTTTTTTAATATATGTTTTCTGTTTTCTAACAGAATTTTGACTGATACTGTGTTATGAATATGGTGACATTTTTTGAAAATTGGCAACAAAATGTTCAGGTTGACAATTTTTTGGTGACAACTTTTTTAAGCCAGCATCATCCTATCAGTGAACATTATGAGTGGTCACAAAGCAATGATCTTGTGAATGAAACTAAAATGTTATATGTTATTTTTAAAAAATCTTTGCAGTGAACTACAACTTAAAGAACACTTTATTCTTTATTAACTGACAACATACTAACTTATATTAATTATCATTGTAACCGCTCAAATGGCCTAGTGGTTAAAGCATCCTCCTCAGATGCGGGAAATCGCAGGTTCGAACCCTGACCAAGTCATACCAAAGACTTTTAAAAAAGGTACTAACAGCTGCCTCGCTTGGCGCTCAGCATGAAGAGGTTAGTGTTAGGACTGGTCAGCCTGGTGTTAGGCTAATATGACTTGGTGGGACATAATGCTACAATGTCTGTGGCATGATGCCCCAGTGCTAGACATCACTATAAACTGTCACACTGCAGACATTGTAGCGATATTATTAAAAAATTGTTAAAGCTACGTTAAAAATCTAAATCACACGCACACAGTAATTATCATTGTAACACTACCATGAGAATCTATTCCTGATTTATGTTGAAAACTCGCTGTTTTATTATAGTATAAAGACAATATAAATTATGGAAAATAAATGCACTTGTTTTGAATCCTTTGAAGAACATAACATGTATGCAGATAAAAAAAATCTACTGGTTTAGAAGCCAATTTACTAATCAAAATGTACAAATCTATTAGTTAGAAATCCTGGTTCTGTCCCATGAATGTACATGCAAAAATGATAACCTTAAGGTTGGGACTGGACTGGCTAAGTCAAAATCGGACCCTTGTGGTATAAATCCACTGAGCCATAGAATCAAATAAACATCTTGAAGTTTAGGTCTGTGTGTGTTAACTACACCTTTATTCTTAAGAGTTTACAGATTATAGAGTACGAAATCATTTAATAAACTATCAACTGATATCATCCTGCGTTATCACCTAGCAATTTGATTAAATATTAGTCCGAGTTTCCTCTGACCCTTGACACCCCATTTTTAATATCTGGTTTTTTATGTTGGGGTGTAGGGTCAAAGTCTATTCCCTATCAAAAACTTGGAATTTGCCGACACCATTTGGTGTCGGCATAGGGTACTCGCCAACTATCAGGCCTAGCAAACTTAAATGACCTTACATTGGCCCATAGTTACATTAAATCGATAGGGAAATCATTGATCTTCTCAGAAATTACCAGCATAACAAGATTTTGTCTTTAATCCGTTGTCAGACGAGACGTAACTACAGCGTTGATGAATTTTGACCTCGATCGCACCATCTTCATTGCTAGTCACATGACTAACCAAATCTCGCAGCCGATATCCATAAACGTCATAGGTCAAATAGTCACAAAATTATTGTAGTGTTTCACAAAATCAATTAAATATTCGACCTTCCCTCCCAACGTTGATGTGTTCGCGTCATTACTATGTTGGTGTCCCTACAGAGACTGATGACATCATGCATTTGGAGCCTTGATGAAAAAAAAAATACTGTTTGTATTGAAAAGATTTTTATGGCTTTATTGCAGGAAATTTAGATTATCTACTCTATCATGCATATGAAAATAATGAAACCGTTTAATTCCAAATGATTTATAACGGGAAACCATTTAGGAACTAATTTAAAGGTATGAAATGTATTATGACACTTTTGATGTCGTTCGTAAGGAGTGATTTCCCTTTAGATAAGAATTTCACGAAAACTATTAAAATTACAGGGACAATCTCATTTTAAAATAGAAATTCAGTGCAAGTTACCACGCTCATATTACATAGTTTTACTAATTATATGTTTGTTAAATATTAAAGAAATGAATTATTTTTTTGCTCAACTATTTATTATGTACCATATTTCACGAATATGACAACGAGACAACAGGCACAGGCACTTGTTTCCGGATATATCACAGGTGCTTTTATATAGTATGATAGAGAGGATCCAATGTCAGAACCGGTCAAGGGGTAATCTGAGGTATTTTTATCACTCTCTATGACTTTTTTCCTTCAGATTTTTGAGGTTATTTTTTAACATCAAGCTCGCGTCGAGCACCTGTGCGATAAACTAATGTTTTCTCACCAATTAAATTTGATGAGTGTACACATAAGTTTATCCCAGAATCAAGTGCCAGTGAACGCGACATATTGAATGCACAGAAATTCCCAAGACATTTCAACTCCAACCATGGAACATTTTGACCCAAATTCATATATTTTTAAAACAATAATTAGCACATTGCTAATGCTAATTACCACTAATCACACGGTTATTCACTTATGTCTGCTATTAAGAACTAAAACAAACTGCTAAATCGCCGAAAAAAGATGTCAGCAGTTAATTTTAATTAAAGTCACTTTTGGTAATTTAGCAAATGCACGCAAAGTGAATGAAAAGAAATCAAATTTACCACACTGTAAATTTGTATTAAAAAAAATCTGATTTAAAAAATAATTAGCACATTATTAATGGTAATTCCCACCAATCACACATTTTTTCATTGATATCTGCAATTAAAAAATCAAAACAAACTGCTCAATTGCCAAAAAAAAAAAGATATCAACAGATAATTTTAGTTAAAGTCACTTTTATTAAGTTAATCAGTGCATGCTAATTTGAATGAAAAGAAAAAGGCATAAAAATTAAATGTACCACACACAGTGGTCTAAAGTGCTCTCTGTTACGGATCACTGCCATCTCACCTCTGTCTGCATGGGTTTGAGTCTAAGATTCGGAAAATGTGGATATGTGAGAAAGCTTGCCAGTATCTTCTTTTGAGTTGGTGGTTCTTTCTGGGGATATCCCGGTTTCTTCCTCCAACATTAATACTTGCTACCATGTATAGCATATTGTGTGCTGAAAAATGGTGTTAGGCCCCAGAACAACATCAACAATATAAACACAGTAAATTAGTATAAAAACTGAAAATTTTCATTATATGTCATTTTTTCATCCTAAGCTTTAATAAAGGTGTTTGGTATACATGTGTAAATTTTGGATTAATTTATAGTAAATATGGTTTATATTGTGATATTTCTATCTTATATATTTTTTTATATTACTAATTGAAATATGTCAATTATGACAAGGGTGTTTTATCCTTGTGTAAAATGAAAATCTTTAAAGGCAGACACAGTAATGTCTTGAACTAAACTATTATGAAAGACTTATGATCTCAGGCAGCAAGGAACTTGAGTTCACTCCCATATATTGGTGTACTGGACTCTTACTTGTGCTCTGGAGACAAATTACAAGACATTAATATTTATGAAAACATCCAAACTTGCATGATTGCATCTTTGATTTTCCATAAATGGCTCTAAAGGTTTTTCAGCTTTAGGCTTTACAGTTCATTATGTTCACAAAATCTAATTGTTACATAAGTATACAAAAAATCATCTAACCAGCATCCGAGAAAAATTTACTGAATTGGCAGTCGCTGAGCCAAGATCCTAATTTATTGAATCAGCCTGATAAATCTTGTATCATGAATTTGCTAACTTGGAACACAAGAGTGATTTTCGTTAGATTTATTTTTTGCTGCTTTTTAAATCAACAATCACAGTCTTTATTAAAATGATACAAATTTTAAGTTAAAACAATAAATTGTAAAACTTCATTGAAAATTCAATCTGCATATGTATATATTAACCCTGGTACTGCTGTGTTGTTTTGCTTGACTTAAAAACCAGTGCTGATTTGTTTCCGACTGCACCATCTGTATATGCTGAAGTGTTTCAAAATAATACAGATTTGGACCAAATTTATATAACAGCTCAAAACTATTATTTAAAATCAGATTGCTATGAAATTGTACAAAGTGACATATTGCAAACACAAAAAATATCCATGAAATTAATGTGATCATGGTTAACATAGCAACTAAACGCAAATCGAATACATATATATTTTCCATCAAATATAGCCATTTTGAATGTGTACATCAACAGTTAATGCTCTTTCTACATGTAACATATCCTCAGTTCATTACTTTTAGGTCTATGCTAGATAATTAAAACATTTCTTTCAAACATGTCTCTACATTTAAGTATGTTACAATAGTATGGGATATATGTCTTTGATTTCTTAAGTATCTTTTATAATTGATACATTTTTTAATATATGACAGCATATATAGTTTTAGAATAATTTTTTTACAAGTTCTTTTAAATTCTCATTTTTAATACATCTTCTGATGTTCAGCTAGGTTGAGCACAACTGTCAGTGGCCTACCAAATAGACATTTAATTCTTTTACATTCTAGTGTCTACATCAGAATGATTTGAATGCAGTATTTATCAGATAGAGCAATATTATGACATCCATTAGTTTGGGTCTTCTCCTGACACAGTAAAATAGTGTATCAATTTTCAGTTATATATGGTAATAAAATGATCAAAAATGCCAACGTGCTACCAAGTTAGCTCTTTGATCTTTACTGTCAAGTGAGGCAGAAATAAAAAACAGTATGAACACCAAGATGGAGTTGAAACTCTGGAGAGGGAGCTCTTGTGTCCGGTTCACATGTATGATAGTGATATTGGCTATCAGGTATTCTTTTGAGTGGATATGTACATTAGAGGCCATAGGTCATTATTACAGAAAATTAACATAAATATTTCTCATTGATTGTAAATTATAGAGCAAGAGTTATGAGGTTTTCAATGATAATTAATAATTGCAACTTGCTAAAAATATTTGAAATAAAATTTCTCAGCAAAAATCTTACATATAATAACTTTTACGTTGTCAAACATTTGAGAAAAAAAAAAGAGATCAATCTTTTTGTTCCTTGGCCTACCTCAGAAACTAGATCTGTTAAAATGAAACAAAATGAACTGAGGAGGAAAAAAACAAAAAGATTTCTACTGGGTCTGAAAGTTAAGACACTGGATGAAGGTCTTGATTATTAAATTCCAAAGTTGCATGCATTTGTCATTACTGTCATAAGAGTGGGTTATGTAAGATGTGAATCTCTTTCTCATCTATTTCTATTTCAACTTGATTGTTGAGAGAGAGAGAGAGAGAGAGAGAGAGAGAGAGAGAGAGAGAGAGAGAGAGAGAGAGAGAAATGAATTTTTTAATGTGATAGAAATATTGTAATTTTTATTTTTAAGAAATAACACTTACATATCAACATGTGATAGTGTCAGGGTACTTTCATATCAACACATGATATACTCCTGCAGAAAATTAATTCACAGATTTGGAAATTCTGTATTGCTTTTTATACCTCCACACATAGCCCTAGCTA